CCCCCCCCCCCCCAACTCCCTTAGCACCGGTTTGAAATAGACTTCTTGCATGTGCTGAGCAATTCATCCACCCTGAAGCCCAACCTCAATCATAGATAAAAATTTCCATTTCCCCCCTTTTCGCAATACGCCCCCCCCCCCTCAATTCCTTTTCCGCACCTCCCTAAAAGTAAGCAGCTTACCTTTGAACGCAACTCTTGTGCCATCTCGAATCAGCAATCCTAGAGGCGATCATCCACGTCGTACCTGTTCTCTTTGTATGGGCAGCCATTACCTGTGACCAAACGGGTGTGTAGGGAAGCTCCACAACGATCAGTCAGATAAAGATGAAATGTTACACTCTAGACGTGGGTGCCACGTACAACGACCTAGTCGTGATGAGGAGACCCCGATAATGCATCCGATCCCGAACCCGAACAGGCATCCCCTACGGCAGCGCATTCAAGCCGTGACGCCCTGGAAACTGGTGCACAGTGGGGTTTCGTACATGTAGGGGCCACTATTAATTGATGTGATGGATAGCTGAACTTCACGCTTCAATGTATTGGGGGCGTGTGCTTCGAATATTGTTGTATTTACGCAATTTTACGGTCGACTTCTTTCCGCCAGTACGAATGTTTTTGTAGACTTTTCCAGAACATGGTTGAAGGTGCTACAGTACAAAAGGCTGCAGATTCCAGAAATTTGTCACCTGAAAGTCTGGACAAGTTACTGACGAGAAGAACCGAAACACAGGTACGGGTTACTGATATCATTTTTTGAAAACCATCTTCAGTAATTACCGATTATAGACAGGGAAAGGAAAACGGCGCTATAGTAAACGTTACCCAATATGTACCGGCTGAGCTGGACTTAGAGCATTTGGTTCAAGCACTGTAGTGATTTCAAGATTGACTCCCGTGAATGGGATCTCTGTGACCATTTTATACCCGTAATGTGTCGACGTGCTTTCAGGAACTGCTAAGTCTTCTTGAAAACCAGCTCTACTCATTCGAAGGAGATCTTCTCAAAAACTCCTTTTACGGAAGTATCCTCACCGGTATATTTACCTTATTTATCTCCTTACTCACAAGTTCTTCCTTGAGTGTTAGCATTTCGAGTATCAGTACTTTTCACGTCAGTGTTTGATGGGTTACTTCAGTTTATATTTCTTCGCACTTCTCTCAAACTCATATAAAAAATTGGTAGCTTGGTAAAATTAGCTCCAAGAAGGACATCACTCATGATCTTATGACTAACATCTTCCGTAAATAATTCTTAATCGGAGACAATTGATTAATTACTTCTCATATTTCATCGTCAATTCGATGTGGGACTTTGTTGCAGGATGGAATCGGGATGCTTTGTCAATGGTCCCATCGCGAGCGCCACAGTCAGCTTTGAAGAGAACATTTCAAGATGACGAGCGTATCCTTTCACGGTCATCCGTTGAGTTTATGAAACGTAAACGTCGCGAATCAGTGGATCAGGAAAACCGTTCACATGCAAATTCCGGGAAATCCCAGAAAACGAATACGGTCCGTTTGTCCACCCATACATTTTTCCAATTCGTGGTAAAGTGCTTTTACCATTTTTCTTTTAATATTTTCGTTACTATCGTTTTGGGTCAACATCTTGGGTTGACAAGTAGAACCGTTCTAGCTTTCTTAAATGCTCGAGCCCACAGATTTCTGACCTTGTTGGTAAGGGAGTTGCAGTACATTTCCCCTTTTTGTTTTCGTCTCAAATTTTCAAATGCTTTCCGATGATTGAGTTTTCCGTGCGTCCATGTAAGTTTCACCGTTTTTTTTCGAAATCTCGGCCGATGGAATAGCAGGCGTCATATCAGCGTTTTTCATTAAGCTGGAGATGCGCTACTTAGAAGTACGCGAAAACGTCAAAGTGGTTTTCTGACCCATTACTCTAGCTTAAATTAAATATAAATGCTGTTTGCTGCAATCCAATTCATCCATATTTGTTTTTGTTTTCATAAACGAAGCTACTGGTACTGCTTTTTTTCGTACAACACATTTCTCAACAACAGCTTTTTATCGCAAATACTGAGTGTTTGAGAACGTTTATGTAGGGTAATTCTAATGTAACATGTGTTTCAGTGTGTAAACAAAGGTAAGAGCGGCGAATCCAACAAACGGACCCCTCCAATCGTGATCAAAGCAAAGCCGCTTAGCACCAGTTCAGACGACAGAAGAAACAAGCAGAGGTGAATGTTAATATAGTCTTATTGCCACACACTATCGAGGCGTTTGCATACACTCACGCAGGGAAAACTATGGAAACTCTGCCAACCGCCTTCCATCAATTTTTCATTGTTTTGGATGGAATTGTTGTTGTCCTTTGCTGACGTGTGAGTGGCTTCCATGGACCAAATTCCATGTCGTGCCAGACTCACATCCTGGTTTATATAACTCCTTTCGTGTACTTCCATGTTGTTGTTTTTTTTTAAGAATCTATTCTTTTAATAGGAGTACGCACTAAATTACTTCATATGGGACCTAATTTAATTGTAAGTTACCTTTAGGATTTTTAGTATCAGTACAAATTATTAGTATCNTGGCTTCCATGGACCAAATTCCATGTCGTGCCAGACTCACATCCTGGTTTATATAACTCCTTTCATGTACTTCCATGTTGTTGTTTTTTTTTAGGAATCTATTCTTTTAATAAGAGTACGCACCAAATTACTTCATATGGGACCTAATTTAATTGTAAGTTACCTTTAGGATTTTTAGTATCAGTACAAATTATTAGTATCAGCAAGATAGAGTCTTGGCTCTGGTTTTTAGGTTTCAATCGATTTTTTGAAATATTTTACTATCTATCTCCTCCTCGAAGATATATCAAACAATTCGCGCTTTCTCTACGATCATCTGTCGCCTTCACTTTCTGGTAATCACAACTCTTTATACCTCTCCACTCTCTTTGGTGCGATATAAAATTTGCTCATAGTTTTTTGTTCATGACGCCAGGCTGCATGATCGACTACTTTTTTTACCTAAATAAAAAATTTATTTATTTTGATTGTCTCTGTGGGCTTCGGGGCTGTGAGGCTTCTTTTTCTTTCTTACCATAATGTATTCTATATTAATGGAATGTATCATAATGTTCAGTTACATCGATATTTACTAGTGGGAAAGGTGCTATCACATACATTCCCGGGTGCATCTCGGTCTCCATAATTCATTTCATTAATTTCCAATATAGAAAAATGGATCAACAGCTCAACAAAGCTGCTGACTGCACCCATATGCGAGCCTTCGTAAATTGCTGTCATCTCTCCAGGGAATGTTCGCAATGAAATGGCAAAGGTCGAAGCGTAAATGGTGATTGTTGCAGTTGACAGGCATGTTGAATGAAGTCATTCACATATATTCTTCTATTTTTATATTCTTTGACTTTATTTCATTCTCTATATTATATTTTTCGAACATCCTAGTTCATTGTAGTCCAACGGCTATTTATTTAATTCACAAGTTGTATTGTTTCATTGAGTATCTCATGTGGGCTTGAACTCGCCGACCTCCACAGGGAACAGTATTTGGCAGTGTTTGCTAAGCGAAATAGTCTTGAGGAAATTAGAGGTTTTTAAATGAATCCAACGGGGGACCTTTTCTTCGTTTCATTGGTCCTTTTGCTCAGTAAACGGGAAGGATGTTTTTCTTTGGATAAGGGAGTTTCGAAGAAAAAGCCCATTGGGCTCGAGCAGTCGCTGAAATTTGAGAAAGAACAAATGGAAAGTCAATAAAAATGATCACCCACAATGTTCAACCCGATACTGAAACTGATATTCAGCCAAAAAAGAGTGACATTGTAACATGCAGGAATTTCTNTTCAACCCGATACTGAAACTGATATTCAGCCAAAAAAGAGTGACATTGTAACATGCAGGAATTTCTTTCGGTCGATGATATAGATTTAATTACTCGGTTTCTGAAAAATCTAGAATTTGGTGATTTCAGCTATTTCAAGTTCGAGCAACAATTATTCATAAACAGCCACACAGCTCGAGCAGAGGATGTACTCGCTCGTGAACCCCAAGTTTTTTAGTTCTGACGTTTCATGCCAGTTGGTCCCTTTTTTCACTTCCTAGTTTACGTAACAGCAGCCTTTGATACTTTTTGACACTGAGGTTGCGAGGTTGCAGATGGGTGAGGAAACTTGGCACGTGCCCAGCTATCTGTACCCGAATAGAATTTGTCCCATCCGTTGGCACTTTCACACAAAACCCATTCGTTAGATGTCAAACCATGTGCTGTGTGCAGGATTTTTGGCTTCCTGAAACCAATCCCCTGGAGGCTCGATCGATCTCGGTTAACAGAGTGGTCAGACACGACAGCGTAACTATGTACATCACTTG